TTGTCTTGCAGCTGACACGAGAGTCCCTCAGCACCCGGAGAGGTATGTCGCTATTGAGCGCCCAGGTACACCTATATGGACTTCTGCTTGCTGCAATCGTGCATACGGCATTTAATTATGACATTGCTCATAGATATGAGTTCGTGAATGTTCAAGGAACACTTTTATACCAATATCAGGAAAAAATTATATCACCATGATTTATGACAAAATATTTTGTGAAATATATCTAAAAAAAAATGTAAGTTTTGTGTCCTTTTACACACGAAATGTGCTTCGATCGAGACTCCTTGGTAACGTGTTTTAGTTTGAGGTAATATGTACGTATATCACATACGGAGCACTAATGTTTAAAAATAGCCTTATAAGTAAGGATTGAAATATTTACGTTACATTTCGTTCAACGGTCGGTACATCACAGCATGGGGCAATTTGAATTGATTTGAAATTGGTAATTACCGTTGTAAAGACCAATTCAATACGAATGTTACCTAAATGGCAGATTTTTTAACTTTGGCTGTATAAGGGAGATACAGATTATGTCATATTGAAGATGATAGTACTCAGTAATACCTGCTCTGAAATAAAAACTATGGAATTTTGAGCTCGGTTGTTTGCGCACTCTTCGTCTGGCGTTCAAAAAGCTATCACATCTGTTTCGTGTGTTCCCGATGAAAAATTAAGTTTTAGGTACCATAAATTCGCTAATATCCCACAACACCTAGGCGTCTGCATGATTTTTTGTACTTCTTAGTAAAGATAATGGGTGCAAATGGCCAATCATAAACTCTACACTTGTCCTCCTTTGCAATCTGTTAATATTGACAATTATCGAAGAAAATGGTATGAGAGGGATAACTAATATATTTTATTTAGATATGAAAGTCAATGTAGGCCTACTGAATGAGGATGATTAATGTTTTTAACTTAATGTGCATGCGTTCATGTACATATGATCCTCCTCGAAAATTATAAACACCCAGTGACATTACAGACGAAAATATATACTTTTATTTTATTTTTACTTTTACGAATGAAAAAAAAATTACATAACTTTACAGAATAGCGTCCCTATTGAAAATGAAAAATCCTATTGACTTGGTAATCATTGCATTGCAAAGTACACTAAATAAGCATTTTTTTAATGTATATCATTAGATTCAGAGAAAAATAACAGATAACAAACTTTGGCAAGGTGCCAAATACAATACACCGCATCTCCGTTATTTTTTGTTTAACCTTCGGTACATCCTAACTCGTAATTTTCATGCGATTCAAATGCAGTTTGTTGCTTTCACTAGAGCCTCGACGTCCTAAGGCCCTCTAAATAGCCAATTTTTGTTAAAGTAAAAAAAAAAAAATCAAAAATAAAAAGTTCTGTCAAGCTGTCCCCTGCCAAAAAAAAAGGGAAATTAAAAACTCACCCATTTACATGGCCTTAGGCTAGGGTTGATTTAACACAAGTATTTTTTGGGGACTATTCAGTAAAGAACTGTGATAGGATGTACGAAGACAAAAAAAAACAAACTTTTTGGGGGGGTGCCCCTCCCCTATGGGGGAGGCAAAGTTAAAATTATATATGAAACGAAGCGCAATTCTATACTCTATATCATGAAAAAATAATCAATCGGTTATATCTAACCGATATTTTTTTATGATGTAAAGAGTAGGGAAAGATGGCCATTTTCCGGGACGGTCCCCTTAAGTAATATTGCATTTGATTAACCCGGTAGCGACGGGTGTCCCACATATGAACACCTGAAAAAATTAAATTACTGGGTGTCCCACCAGTGTGATGCTGTATCGGGGGTCACGCTCCGATGCAGCAGCGGGCCGTGACCGGCGCCATGGGCAGAGTCCAGGCCTGCACCACGCCGATTTTGTAGCTGCCCAGAATTTTTATTTTCGGCTTCAAATATACTGGCGGTAATGGGTTAAGGAAAATGGAAATTTATTTGTAGTGTCTAATGTCTTGGTTCTGTATCATAATCTTGTCATATAAGGTATTTCCCATTTCTCTTCTGATGCAATAGTGTAAAAATTATATAAATGAAGTACATAGTAAAAAACATGTTGAGTACGATGATTCTTTTATGAATGGGTGATTTACGTCTTTTTAAATTGAAGTTGCATATGAGCAATGAAATCTGGTAAATCAATTTTGTAATGTCTGACTTGGTTCAATACCATAATCTTGAGTATGGTATTACTCACTTCTCTTTTTCAGTGTTTGTGTGTATGTAGTAACTGTTTTATATATGTGTTTGTTAAGGGGACCGTCCCTGAAAATGGCCACCTTTAACTACTCTTATACATCATAAAAAAATATCGGTTAGCAATAACTGATTGATTCTTTTTGCATGCTATAGAGTAAAGAATTACGCTCCGTTATATATATAAATTTTAACTTTGCTCCCCATTGGGGGTGCACCCCCCAAAAGGTCGATTTTTTTTTTTTTTTTTTTTTCGTTGTTCATAAAAGTTGATGTTTTTCGTGTGAAAAGCTTAATAAATGCATTTTACTGGGTGTTTTATAATTTTCGAGGAGGATCATATGTACGTGAACGCACGCACATAAAGTTAAAAAGATTAATCATCATCATTTAGTAGGCCTACATTGACTTTCATATCTAAATAATAAAATTATTAGTTATCCCTCTCATACCATTTTCTTTGATAATTGTCAATATTAACAGATTGCAAGGAGAACAAGTGTAAAGTTTATGATTAGCCATTTGCACCCATTATCTTTACTAAGAAGTGCATAAAATCATGCAGACGCCTATGTGTTGTGGGATATTTGCCAATTTATGGTGCCTAAGACTTACGGTAACGTCTAAACATATTCATTTTTATCGGGAACGCACGAAACGGATGCGATAGCTTTTTGAACGCCAGACGAAGACTACGCATACAACCGAGCTCAAAATTCCATATAGTTTTTATTTCAGAGCAGGTATTACTGAGTACTATCATCTTCAACATGAAATAATCTGTATCTCGCTTATACATCCGAAGTTTAAAAATCCGACATTTAGGTAACATTCGTATTGAATTGGTCTTTACAACGGTAACTACCAATTTCAAATCAATTCAAATTGCCCCCTGCTGTGATGTACCGACCGTTGAGCGAAATGTAACGGAAATATTTCAATCCTTCCTTATAAGGCTATTTTTAAACATTAGTGCTTCGTATGTGATATACGTATATATTACCACGTAAACTAAAACATATTACCAGGGAGTCTCGATCAAAGCATATTTTGTGTAAAAGGACACAAATACATTTTTTTTTAGATATATTTCACAAAATATTTCGTCATAAATCACGGTGATATAATTTTTTCCTGATATTGGTATAAAAGTGTTCCTTGAACATTCACGAACTCATATCTATGCGCAATGTCATAATTAAATGCCTTATGCACGATTGCCGCAAGCAAAAGTCCACATAGGTGTACCTGGGCGCTCATAGCGACGTACCTCTCCGGGTGCTGAGGGACTCGCACGCCGGCTGCAAGACAACGAGCCATAGCAGGCGGTTAATACTCGTTTGGTAGTTTCCTCATCCATGTACCTATACTATACGCTAACTATCTTAATTTAACCCCCTCCCCCCCTCTCTCAGGACGGTCCCCTTAAGGAGTTACTTTTATGAAGGGATCATGTATTTGAAGAATGAAATTGGGAATTCTATTGTGTGATATCTAATGACGTGGTTTTAAATCATAAAGTTAATGTGTAATTGAGGTATACATTTTATGTGTTTTATTAATCAATAATTTATTCTTTTAATGTGATGTGTTTGAGAAATGAAATCAGGGAATTCTATTTTGTAATGTCTAATGACTTGGTTCTGTATCATCTTGTCGTGTACTGTCATACCTCTTTCTATTTTTCAGTTTGTGTAAAGATTTTATGAAGGCGTTTATTATGGCAAAACTATAATGAACAGATAATTTATGTATTTTTAAAATGATGTAGTTTAGTTGTAAAATTTGTTCATTCTATTTTATAACATTTAGTGCCTCAGTGTTGTAACATAATCATGTCTTGTATGGTATTACCCATTTCTTTTTTCAGAAGTAAATATTTCATAAATGTGTTGGATGTGGTGATACTCGTGTACAATACTATACTTCTTTTTAAGTAACATTGCATTTGAGCAACGAGATCTGGAATTTTTATTTTTGTAATGTCTAACAACTTCATTTTGTATCATAAACATGTCTTGTATGGTTTTACCCTTTTCTTTGTTAGTGTTTGCACAAGGTGTACATTTTTATTTTTTTATTTTATAATGATACAAAGATGCAATTTTTTTATTTATTTTTTCAGATCTTCATTGTTTGGAAGGTGCAAGAGCATTAGTAGTACTAACTGTATTTGCATGGACATCTAAATAATATTGCATGTGAAAAGAAGTTTGTGATTGAATAATCTTACTAAAGCTTACTAATAATTGAGTTGGTGTGTTCCTAATGTGTATAATCCCCTTTCACCCGTTCTATCCTTATCCTGTTTTGCAGGATATGAATTATAACTACATGCATATACTATATACTAAATGAATTGATATTTATTGAATGTAAAGTTTTTATAAAGAAATAACAGAATATATTTTTGTAGGTTTATTGGATGAGGGATGAGCCACCAAATGAAATGATTATATTTTTTATTGAAGTTAGTAAAAAAATGTTTGGTTGTGAAATAGTGATGATATCTGGTTGTGAATCAATGAAATAGTGATGGTATCTGGTACATTGTTGTTTTACCCGTTCCATTAGTTATAAATTATTTATGATTCTCTTGCAGACAACAAAGCATATTCGATGTGAAGGGATTCATGGAGGAAGAGTGACAGAATTAAGCATTGTTTGGTAAGTGCAAGTAAGAACTTAATCATTTTGTCTTTTGTAAATAGCTGTAAAGATAATCTAAAGGTAAAAAGATAAATCTTGAAATGTGGGAGTGTATTTGCAATTACTTTCCTTACAGATAAAGATGGTAAAGTGTCCAGAGATTGAAGATTCTGCAAGTGGATTGCAGATAGAAGGTACAGCAGTATTCTAAAATATTTGAATATATTGCAACAAAAATGATTAACAAATACTATGAAATTCACTATCACTATTTAACCTTTCAACAAATTCAAAGGACATGGCTGCCAAAAAAGCTATTTGCAAAAAGATGATGAAAAGGAAGAGAAGAAAGTAGTGGAATGTGCTCCAGAGACAGGAGGTAAGTATTGTTATTCTCCAGCTTTAGTGATTTGCATAAAGTCAGTTATTACTTTTGTTTTAACTTATTTCTAGATATTTATATAAAGACATGTTTAGAGGTAAAAAGTAAATTTTGAAATGTGGGGGTGTATTTGCAATTTCTTTTCTTACAGATGAAGAAGTTTATGCAGTGTACAGAGGCTGATGATA